TCCCATGGTGCTGGATCCCATTCCCTGCTCGGCATGCTGGCTGTGGTGTTTTGGGATGTTGTGCTTTCCCGTGGTGCTGGATCCCATTCCCTGCTGGGGATGCTGGCTGTGGCTTTTGGGCTGTTGTGTTTTCCCGTGGTGCCCCCTGAGCCCCATTCCCGTGTCCCTTAGTGCCGGAGCGGCGCTGGCCGGAGCTGGAGCGGGCTCAGCACCGCACTCACGCCATGCGGCTGCTGGACGGGCTGGAGGTGACGGCGCGGGAGCGGCGCCTGCGCGTGGCACGGGCCATCCTCTACGTGGCACAAGGTGACAGGGCCGGGGCACGGGCTGGGGGCAGGAGGGGCTGGAGCTCATGGGGTCAAAATACATATTTGTGGGATTTGTCCGTGGAGTTCAGGTAAAATGTGTTAAATAGGTAAAATATAGGAGTGATTTCTTTATGTGAGCTGTGTATTCGTATAACATATAATACAGGTGTAATATAGATTGGATTATGTTATTTAATAAATTATATATGTTGTATATTATATATAGTATATAATAGATATTGTTGCTATATATAAATTATATAATGTTATACAATTATATAATGAATTATATAATATATATAATTTATACATATATGTAATTCATATAAGCTATATATTCATGTAATATGTTACATATAATATATAACATATATACAATATAGATTATATTATATAATTATATATAATTATTATATATTATGTACATAACATATTATATATATTACATATATAATTATATTTTATATATAATATATGTAATATATATTATACAATTATATATAATATATAATCTATATTATATATAATATAGGTTATATTATATATCATTTAATAAATTATATATGTTGTATATTTCATATAATATATAATAGATATTATTACTATATATAAATTATACAATCTGTAACTATATAATAAGTTATATAATTTATTACATATATACTACTTATACTATTACATACTATATAGATATAATATATATAGTATATATGCATATACATATATGTAATTTATATAAGCTATATATTCATATAACATATATTACATATAATAATATATATAACATTTATGTAATATAGATTATATTATGCATTATTTAATAAACTAAATAGTGTATGTTATGTATAGCATATGATATATATTATATATTATTACTATATATGTTATGTAATATGTATATATAAAAGTTATAGAATATGTGGATGTATATGCATATATAAAAATTACATTAATTATGTATACTGTATGTTATATGTAGTATATATTATATGTTCTTATATATTATTTATAATATATGTTATTACTATATATAGTAATATATATGCTATACTAGACATGTACAAATATGTATTATATAATTATTGTACAAATATACAATTATATGTTGTATATATTATATATTATATACATTATATATGGATAAATATATGATACATATTCTGACAATATATACTTATATAACCTATATATAATATGTAATATATTATAAAATATATAATATGTATAATTTGTAAAATTCATATATTTATATAATATATATTTATGTAATACAGTATATATTGTAATATATAATATTATATATCACATCCTATATATTATATAACATATCAGCATGTAGTACAATTAATATACAATATTAGTTTAGTGTAACAATTAATAATCATTCCAATATACCATATTTCAAGTGATTTAATTCCCCCGGGATATCTGGAACGAGCTGATCCTCTTGGGACCAGCCCCTTTGGAGCAGTTTGTCCCAGATTCCTCCTGGGACCAGCCCCTTTGGAGCAGTTTGTCCCAGATTTGCCCCGTTTCCCTGTGCTCTCCCCCTGGGCTGTGTTCCCATGGGGGCAGTTCCATCCTGTGCTTCCCACCTTTCCTGCCCCCTCCTGGCTTTGGGCTCAGCGGGTTTTCCTCGCAGGGACCTTTGGGGAGTGCAGCTCCGAGGCCGAGGTCCAGGCCTGGATGAGGTACAACATCTTCCTGCTGCTGGAAGTGGGGACCTTCAACGCCCTGGTGGAGCTGCTCAACATGGAGATCGAGTGAGTGCCATGGGAAAACGCCCTGGGAATGGCTCTGGAACAACCTGGCAGGTCCCTCCTCTGATTCCTGCATCCGCCAGAGCAATTCCCAGTGTTCTGGGTGGATGTGGAATGTAGGATTAGACCTGATAAATCCAATATTTTCTATTTTTTTATATTATATTTATATAATATTTTTAATGTAACAGTAATATATATTACGTAAATATAATTTATGTTGTATTTCTATAATAATAATAATTGGTCAAGTCCCAAAGCTCCTCCTCCTGTGAGCAGGGAATTCCTGGCAGCAGTGTCTCTCCCAGAGTTGCCTCTGGCACGTGGGATGCCTGTGGCAGAGTCTGGATTCTCCCAGATTCCCCCAAACTCCCCCAAATTCCCACTGGGCTGTTTTCCCTCCGCAGCAACAGCGCGGCTTGTTCCAGTGCCGTGAGGAAACCGGCCATTTCCCTGGCTGACAGCACAGACCTGAGGTATGGAATGGGAATTGTGGGGCTGGAGGGGGAGGGGCAGGCTTTTCCAGGAGTTTTGGGGAGCTGGGACAGGTCCTGGGGGGGCCAGAGCTCCATGAGCATCCATGGGTGTCCCTCGTGCTCAGCACAGCAGGAATGGGGCAGGTTGGGGATGTGAGAGCAGGAAAATTTGGGAAAGGAGATTTTTTTCCTGCTTGGACTTGGAGAGACCTTTTCCCTGAGCACTGGCATGGAATCTGGATCTGGTGTGGGCTGAAAACACTGGCAAAAATCAGTCCAACTCCAGCATATTCCAGGAAAAGTAAAATCCTTGCAAACATCCGCCATCCACCTTGCCCTCCTGCAAATCCAGGGCTATTTTTCCTGGTTTAGAGACCAAAACTCCCTGAAAATATTCACAATTCACCTCATCCTGCAAATCCAGGGCTATTTTTCCTGGTTTAGAGACCAAAATTCCCTGAAAATATTCACAATTCACCTCATCCTGCCAATCCAGGGCTGTTTTCCCTGGTTTAGAGACCAGAAATGTCCCTGCAGGAGCACAAACATTACCAAGGCAACTCCAACCCACCTCCTGCGTCTCCATCCCGGGATGCTGGGTGCCAGCAGTGCTTCCCAAACTCATCCCAGCTCATCCCAAGCTGTTTTTTCCAGGGTGCTGCTGAACATCATGTACCTGATCGTGGAGACCGTGCGCCAGGAGGCCGAGGGGGACAAGCCCGAGTGGAAGAGCATGAGGCAAACATTCCGAGCGGAGCTGGGTGAGGATCCGGAGCTCGGCGTGGAGCTGCCGGGCCTGGGGAGGGACAGCGGGCTGGGATTTGCCTCCAGGCCTTGGTTAACGGGGACTGGCAGCACTGGGTTGGCTTCTGCTCAGCTTGGAAGGGTGAGCAGGGGGAGCCATCCAGCCTTTCCTGCTGCTGGGTGCTCTCTTCCCAGGAAAAACATGGGGCATTGTTTCCTCTGAACGCAGAGGTGAGAAATGATGGAGGGTCTGAGGCCTTGGAGAGCAGAGGGAGCTGTCTGGGGTGGGATGGGGGTCTCTGAGCTGGTGGGGGTGAGAACAGGGATGAGGAATTCCTGGATAATCCCGCTGTGTGGTTGCAGGAGCCCCCCTGTACAACAACGAGCCCTTCTCCGTGATGCTCTTCGGGATGGTGACCAAGTTCTGCAGCGGCCACGCTCCGCATTTCCCCATGAAGAAGGTGCTGCTCCTGCTCTGGAAGACTGTGCTGGTGAGGAGAGGCCATGGGATATGGGATGTGTGCTTTGATGCTTGGCACAGGAGGGAATTCTGCCCTTGGATCTGGCTGTGATTGCTCCATCCTCTTCTGGTGTTCAGTTTGCACCTTATTAAACCCAATCCCAGGCTTTCCCCCCTAGGGAAGTGTTGGATGTTTGTATCTGGAGCTGGGTATCGAGGATGGACCCAAAGTGAGGTCCCTGCTGGGAAGGGAAAGCTCTGGACACTCCAGTTGTGGATTCCTGGACACCCTCCTGTCCCTCCTGCCTGTCACAAGGACAAGGGGGACACAGGGACAGGCAGCTCCTCTTTTACACCCTGGAGAAGGATTTAGGCCCCCCAGGACAAGAAGGACATGGAGGGGCTGGAGCGTGTCCAGGGAAGGGAACAGAGCTGGGGAAGGGTCTGGAGCAGGAGGAGAACTGAGGGAGGTGGGGAAGGGTCTGGGCACTGGGAGAACTGAGAGAGCTGGGAAAGGAGCTGGAGCAGCAGGAGAGCTGAGGGAGCTGGGGAAGGGTCTGGAGCAGGAGGAGAACTGAGGGAGCTGGGGAAGGGTCTGGAGCAGCAGGAGCAGCTGAGGGAGCTGGGGAGGCTCATCCTGGGAAAAGGAGGCTCAGGAGGGACCTTCTGGCTCTGCAACTCCCTGACAGGAGGGGGGAGCTGGGGGGGGTCGGGCTCTGCTCCCAGGGAACAAGGGACAGGAGGAGAGGGAACGACCTCCAGCTGTGCCAGGGGAGGGTCAGGTTGGACATCAGGAGGAATTTCTTCCTGGAAAGGGTGGTCAGGCCTTGGCAGGGGCTGCCCAGGAACGTTTGGAGTCCCCACCCCTGGAGGTGTCCCAGGAAGGCCTGGCTGTGGCCCTCAGTGCTCTGGGCTGGGGGACAAGGGGGGGATGGTCACAGGTTGGACTCGGTGACCTTGGAGGGCTTTTCCAACCTCCAGGATTCCATGATTGTGGTTGTGGAGAGCGGTTTTGGGAAGGGCAGGTGGAGCTGCCCTGGGAACCCCCACGTTCAGCTCCCAGTGTCCCTTGCAGTGCACCCTGGGGGGCTTTGAGGAGCTGCAGAGCATGAAGGCGGAGAAGAGGGAGATCCTGGGGCTGCCCCCGCTCCCGGAGGACAGTATCCAGGTGATCCGGAACATGAGGGCGGCATCGCCCCCGGCATCCGCCTCCGACCTCATCGAGCAGCAGCAGAAACGCGGCCGCAGGGAGCACAAGGTGGGGACAGGGACAGCGGGGGGGTGACAGCAACGGGGGACAGGGACAGCAACAGGGGACAGGGACAGCAACGGGGGACAGGGACAGCGGGGGGGGGTGACAGCAGGGAGGGCATGGTGACATCAATGAGGGGACAGGGACAGCAATGAGGGAATGGTGACATCAAGGCCCTGGTGACACCAATGAGGGTACGGTGACAGCAATGAGGGGACAGTGACATCAGTGAGGGCATGGTTACATCAACGAAGGGACAGTGACGGCAATGGGGGTACGGTGACATCAGTCAGGACGTGGTGACATCAGGTAGGCATGGTGACATCATTGAGGAGATGGTGACATTATTGAGGGATGGTGACATCACTGAGGGCATGGTGACATCATCAAGGGGGTGGTGACATCATCAAGGGGATGGTGACATCACTGAGGGGATTGTAACATCATCAAGGGGGTGGTGACATCACTGAGGGGATTGTAACATCATCAAGGGGATGGTGACATCATCGAGGGGATGGTGACATCATCGAGGGGATGGTGACATCATCAAGGGGATGGTGACATAAATGAGTGTGTGGTGACATCACTGAGGGCATGGTGACATCACTGAGGGCATGGTGACGTCACTGAGGGCATGGTGACATCAATGAAGGGATGGTGACATCACTGAGGGCATGGTGACATCAATGAAGGGATGGTGACATTAATGAGGGGATGGTGACATCATCAAGGGGATAGTGACATCAATGAAGGGATGGTGACATCAATGAGGGCATGGTGACATCATCAAGGGGATGGTGACATGAAGGAGGTCTCTTCCAGGGGCTGGGCACTGCCCTTGGAGCAGGCACATTCCCTGGATGCTCTGCCCTTGGAGCAGGCACATTCCCTGGATGCTCTGCCC